TTGAACCACCAGCCTTCTGGTTAGCAGTCAAGTGCTTTAGGCACGACACTACCAGAGCTCCTCATTTCTTACGTATAGATAGGCAAAAATTTAAATTATGGTTCTGTTGGTGAGCCTGTGAGAAAATAAGCCTCACATATTGCTGGTGGGATGGAAAATGGTACAACTTCTATAGAAGGTAATTCAGTAATCTCTATCAAGATTACAAATGCATTTATTCTTCAACCCCGCAATCTCATTTCTGGGAATTTATCCCATAGATATGCCTATACGTTAATAAAATATTGTATATACAAGGTTACTGATTACAACATGGTTTGCAGTAAAACACTGGGGGAAAAAACACATTATCAGCCCACAAGAAAACTTTCAGAGCTAATAGATGAATTTAGCAAAGTTGCAGGGTACAAGGGCAACAAACAAAAATCAGTTGAGTTTGTATACATTGCAATTAGAAACCTGAAAGGTTAATTAGGGAAACAATTCCATTTACAGTAACATCTAAGAGAATAAAATACCTGGGATGATGACATCAATTCTACTCAGACTATTCCAGAACAGAAAAGGATGGAATACTTCTGAATTCTTTCTATGAAGCCAGCTTAACCCTGATACCAAAGCCAGGGAAAGGCACCACTAAAAAGAAAAGTATAGACCCCTATCTCTCATTAAAATAAATGTAAAAATTCTCAAAAAAATTCTAACCATTAAAATTCAGCAGCACATCAAAAATAACATATATACACACATATATACATATATAAACATATATGTATATGTATATATATATAAAATATACCATGACCAAGTGAGATTCATATCAGGTATGCAAGGGTAGTTCACCATTAGAAAACAATCAATGTAATCTACAACATAAATAAAACAAAGGGAAAGGTCACACGATCATCTCAACTGCTGAAGAAAAGTCTTTTGATAAAGCCTAACACCCACTTCCACTTCTGATAAAAACTCTCAGCAAAATAGGAATAGAAGGGAAATTCTTCAAATTAAGGGCATGTACACAAAACCATGCTACTATCACCAAGAAAATGGAGCCACAAACAGTGTGCCTCCTTTGGACCCAGGGTCCTTTGTGCTGGAATCCTCCTAGGAATAAGACAGAATAAGACACACACCACGTACAGAAGTCATCTTCCCCTAGAGCTGGGACTCTGAACTTGGACTTCCAGCCTCCTGAAATGATGCAGAGGAGGAGTCAGCCGCAGGGACCTAGCAAGAAAGCCTTCTTCCAGCTGACAGCCTGAATTGGAACGTCTAGACTTCTAAAGTTGAGCCAACGTGGAGAGAGAAACCTCCCCAAGAGCCAGGGCCTGGAATTCAGACTTCTAGCCTCTAGAAGATATCCAAGTACCCCAATGACACTTCGGATCTGGAAGACTGAAAAGGTGTGACATTCCCCTTGTTACTCTTATACCCCACACACACTTAGTGAACAGAGGTTTGTCCATCCCCCACTCCCACTCACCTTCTGGGCCCGCAGGAATTCCATCCCACTCTGTGTGCTTGGACAGAGCCTGGGTGCCCTGCCCTGCCTGCCCCCAATTTTTTTTTTTTTTTTCCTGGCTTTTAGTTTGCTTGCTTTTGTCTGTTTTAAAACTACTACTATTATTAATACTTCAAACCTTTTTACTATTATTACCTTCCCAGGTCCTAGTTTTCAGCTTT